TATATATATATATATATATATATATATATATATATATATATATTAAAAAGTGAAATATTGTAAAAATAAATACTATTACTTACCTGCAAACTTGGATGACACCCCAATTCCAACAACGTACGTACTACACCGGCATGTCCTTTATTAACTGCGATATGGAGGGCAGTTTGGCGTCTTTTATTTCTAGCATTCAAATCAGCTCCAGCACCAGCTAATAATGCCATTACACCCGGTTCATCCCCAAATGCTGCATGATGCACAGCTCTATCTCCATCTTTATCCTAAATCATTTATTTTAAGTAGACTTGATTAATTATTCTCAAACATATAATTTTCCAATACGGTATTCTTAAAATAATAATAAATCGTAAAACTTTAACTCTCTTACCTCAATTTCGACATCTGCTTTATAACGGAGAAGGATTTTAATAACTTCTAAGTGACCATTTTGACTTGCTGCTTGTAAAGCAGTATGACCCGCAAATACACCGTTTACATCAGCTTCGGGTCTTTTTAAACACTCTTCACATTTAACAGCATCACCATTTGCAGCGGTTTTTACTAGTTCTTCATTAACATCACTCGAGACATGGGTTTCAAATAATTTTTTTAATAACGCTGATAGACGTTCTGAAAATATTCACAAATATTAATTTTTTTCAAATTTCAGAAAATGATATAAAACAAACATACCTCCACTGCTATTTCCCGGTACACTATCATCACTACTTGCAACTTTGGTAACTGCTTGGGGATTATATGTCCAAGATGTACTACAAACTTCTACTTTTAAATCTCCATCGTGATATATTTGCAAAACTCTACCAATCTTTCCCATAGTCTATAAAAAACGTAAATAATATTAAAAACTATTTTGAACATATGTTCAAAATTAATTTGTATTTTTATAGAATTTATACTGCTGTAAAAACATACTGGTGCCATTGCTTCGGCCCATTCTCCATGACCTCGTTGAAGTCTTTTTATTTTTTCTATATCATTACATATTTGTACCAAGTCACCAACCGCAAATGTTTGGTTATCAGAACTTGAACTAGTAACTGGTACTGGTATTTGTACTTTTGTTAATACAGCAGGATTGAAAGTCCATCGATTACCACTTGGATAGGACACAACAATATCATGATCTTCATCAATACCAACAACAGTCCCTGTAGTACCGAGACACTCGAACATACCATCTGTCCAACCACCATGCCCATGTTGTAATGATTGTACAATTTCTAATTCCAAATCAACGTTAACCTACAAATGATTTCATTTATTATTATTATTATTATTATTATTATTATTATTATTATTATTATTATTATTCCTAGAAAATTTTATTCATTTATAATATTAATTATAATACATAAAATATGTTATTATACTGATTTATATTAGGCTTGATGTTTAATAACCTGATCTCCAATTTGTAATCCATGGGCGCCAGTGCGACCTGGACCTTGTTCACCTAATAGTGGTAAATGATATCTGTAAACTGTTTGGCCTTTAGCGTCATTAACAACTTTTAAATCCGCCTAAAATATTGACAATTACTAATTATTTATATTATATTCTTTAAACATATGTATTCATTCACACATTACTTATAATGGTATGTGATACTTTATTTTTTAAACTAACCATTCCTTCAAAACCAACACGATACAAATTTTTGGCACCATTATCCCATATAACATAGGCTGCTGAACGTGGACTAGCGGCAGACCAATCTTGAATTTCATTAACTTTACCTCTTCGACCATTTCCACCATCTTGATCTTCCCATTGCCAATCAACACCTCTTACAACTCTTGCACCAGGAAATATACCACGAATTGCAATCTAATATCACACGTAAAAAATAAGTTATTATTATTATTGTTGTTGTTGTTATTATTATTATTATTATTATTATGACAAAACTCATATAATAATAAAGAAACTAATTAATACTTTTTTGCTTTTACGCCTTGGTTCCAATAATACCCTTTCACTACCAGGTGTTGATATACGATAAAATCTATGTCTTAGGTGATGCTTGTCTGCATGATAACAAATAGAACAAAGATCATAATTGCCACATTCTGCACATTTCCATCGAATTCCAAAAATTGGTTGTTGTCTACATGTATCACACATTGTTCCATCATGTTTTACACCTGTTGGAGCTGAATCCAAAATTCGTAGATCAAATGCACCAGAACATCGGTAATTGGCTGCTGTACCATTATCCCAAACAACAACAACTTCTTCAGGAGATTCAAAATTTCTAACAGTTCCTACATGACCTTCTCCACCATCCTATTACATTGAAAAATTATATTTAAAGCATGTTTATTATTATAAATGATATTCAATAAGAATAATTTATTTATATAATAAAAATATAAACATATATTGTTCAAGATTATTAAAACAAAAATAAGACAAATTGAAAATAGCTCTTATCGTTTAAAATGCATAAAAATCAATTCCAATATAAGAATGCAATGTATACAAAACAAATTGCATAATATAAGAATTAAATGTACAATCTTATGTATACCATATACAATATTTGATAAAGTAAATTACTAGGATTGTTATAATAAATTACACAGAATATAGCAAACATGTAGAAAATTTTCTCGATAATAAATTGAATGATAATATTATTAAGTATGATAACATAACCTTAACAGACATGTATAAGTTTATTTCCAATATTATAAAAAAATGAAATCGTAAGTTACATAAAAATATAAATAGAGAAGTATGAATCTTACCGTTACAATAGCATGTTTGTATAAATGTAATATGAGATTTTAATTAAAAATTACGTTAAAACCAGTTAACCTCTTTACTAACCTGTTTACCCCACTTCCATTCAGGTCCACGGATGACCCGGGCTCCGACACCCTCCATCATAAATCGCGTTGTACGAGTACCAGTACTCGCACCAGCCTCCATAATTCATTGGCAACAAAATTTCAACTAATAAGATGAAAAAATTAAAGAACGCGATGCTATCACCATACACTAACACTAAAAAATACCGCCATATTAAACTAATGTCAAAATACGTTATACCAATCTTTGATCATACAATCTACCAATGCACAGATTTTAGAAACACGTATTATACGTATTGTATAATAATTTTATATATATATATATATACACACACACACACATATATAAGGTTATTATACAATAACAATTAATTATACTAAATTAATATATTTAAATTATATAACTGAATATTTGATATAACAAATTTACAAATCTAGGGAATTTTATGATATTACATGTTATTAAATTTAATTTCATACAAAACATCAAGCAGTATTGATGTTAACAAACTTTAAGTTGTATTTTAATTATTTTTAACTCGTAGGTTCTATTTTAAAGATTCTTATTTAATATTTTTTTATATACTCATCTCTAGAGACAAAAATGCATCAATATTCTAATAATTTTACATATTTTAACAAAAAATATTTGTTATGATATATGAAATAAAATTAATTTGGATTTATAAATTTTAAACATTTTCTAAACAAAATATTTGAATTATTAATAATTATAATTCATGCAATTCATGAAAAATACGAAATTTTTACATTTTCTTTAATGAAAAAAGATTTTCTACATAAAATATATTTTTAAAGACTAAAATATATTTTTAAAGATATTTATATAAAGATATTTATAAAAACTTTCTTTTCATATATCAAGTACAAAAGATAAAACAATTTTTTTAAGAGTAAATTTAACAAATTATTATTATTTGTAAAAACGAACATTATAAACATCAGTATACATAAACCACATTTGATGTAAAACATGATGTCAATAATCTTCATAAATTAATGATATATTTGCTATTATATATTATAAATGCAAAAAAGAAAAAACAAAAAATTATTTGGCTTAAATATATCTTTATACTATTATGTTTGAAAATTAAAGTTGTTACTGATTAATTTCCTTTGGCACAGTAAATGTTATAATAAATATGCAATTTATATCTTCAGATATAACAATAAAAAAAATAATTGAAGAGTTTGCATAAAAAGAAATTATTTAAGATGTTTAATAAAATTTCAATACTTATATTACTGATACATAATATTTCTACTCTCCATGTCTTAAATATGTCTGATTATTGATATATTACTTCCAATTTTTATATCATTTTAATCATTTACTGGCATTTATACTGTTAATATTCTGAATTATTCATCAGTACTTATTTACTGTTTATAATTTCAAATGATAAACTTGATGTTGATATAGAAAAGAATAATGTATCATTAAATTATTTTGTAAAAACACTTTTTCATGTAAATAAGATTGATTTTTGGAAGATATTTAAAATAAAGATATTGTTTACATACAAGTTAGCTATGTACATTTGGTGTTTCATGTATTACTGTATTGCGTATTTATATGCTTAGCATAAATCCTTATATGTATTAAATTATTGATATTACAGTCATTACATGCAGAAAGTATACGCTCCGCTGAGAAACATCGATGTACATTCATACGAGTCGCGAGTATCCAGGATGTATTTTACAATTTAATCAGTAGTTCAATGTTATTATGATATTAATCTTTCAATAACACAAAATTGAAGATATCAGTGATAAGTAGTTAATTTTTAATATACAATATTTGTAATTTATTACAATATTTTACAGAGGAATACTTTTACAAATAATATTTTTTCACATAAAAAGTTTATTATGCTTATTCTTCACTTTGGCAAAATAGTTTAATATTTCAATATTATGAGCTATACAAACATGTTTTATTTATATGAAATACGATCAATTTTTTAAAAAAATCATTACTAATATGTAATATTTACATATAATAAATTACACAAAAAACTTGTTATTATTTGAAGTTATGATTAAGTTCATTAAAATATTTTATTTTATTATATTCTATTTTATTATTGCACTAAAATTGCATGCAAATGAAATAAACTACTTTCATTCTGATGTCTTCAATTCCTGACAATAGATCTCTCTCTTCCCTCTTCTTAAAACATCTTACACACACACATATAGATAATTATATGTGTGTCTATTTATACATATACATGAATATGCATGCACACGTTAGAAACTTGTTCACCTAAATTAGATGTAAAGTTTAGATATATAGATTATAAGATTTTTTCTGAAAATATTTGATAAGTTTGCAGATACGAATTCTATAGCCATTATTTTATATATAATATCGAATGTTCATTTTACTATTAAGTTATGCAAACTGAGGATAGGACTTGTAAAATATGGACACTTTAGTTTATTTCAGTATTATGTTAGAATCCTTAAAATTTCCTCTCCAATTCCTGACAATAATGTGTTATTGTCACCTTTACCTTCAATTATCAAATTGGCTGATGATTTCTATATAAAAAAAAAATGTATTTTTGTTTTATTTTAATTCTATTAAAATTATTATTAATTATAAGTATTATGAAATAAAGTGTATTTCTCTTACGTTATATTTTAATAAAAGGCACACATGATGTCCTTTCAAGGAGTGTCCGTATAAAGACGCTGTATCAGTGATTTGTTCCACAAGTGTAAGATTACATTTACAACAAATTAAATTTAGAATAACATCAAAATCTTGAGAAAGGACAATTTCTTTTCTGATTTTGTGTACAAGTTGTCCACTTTTAAGTAATTCTGTTAATATATCCTTATGTGATAGGTCGCCAACCATGAACTTACTACATGTTAAATGCATAGTAAAATCAAGTTTCTCTTGCAATGTACTTTCCTTATTTTCTAACATGTACGTAAGTGTGCCTCTCAATCTCTGAGCAAATGTTACATCTGAGATTAAAATAGTAAATTGTGTTTCCTTACTGGTTTGTGGAGGCAGTTGGAATGGCAGTTTTATACCAAATTCATCTCCAATCTAAAAGGATAGTATATTTATTAAAATAAATTCTTTATTTTACTGCCAAACATCATGCATCCAAACATAAAAAGTAGTAACTAGCAAAAAGTAGTGGTTAACAAAAAATGATACACTTAGTTGTAAAATTATATAATTTTTCTTTTGCTGTTTCAATAGAAATGTAAACTTACATTTCTCATTAATCTCAATGACGATGTATCTGGAACATCAAAAACTAATTCCTTTACAAGATTTTGACAATTATTCGTAATGAGTATTGATGCAACTAATTTGTTTGACTCATGAGGAATTTGTTTCAATTCATACGTTATAGATAATATTTTATTTTTAGCTAATTCTTCATACGAAGTAACTGGTTCTAGAACTGCATTATTTTCAGAATTTGCGAAATTATATCTTAAATCTGGTAATATTTCTTTCGATGGTGTTGAAATTCCAGCTGTTTCTTCGTAATCTGAAGATTTTTTTAAAGATTCTTTTTTACTTTTAGATTTTCTTGATTTTCGATGTTTTGAGTCCTCATCCGTTTTTTTATGCTTTTCATGATTTTTTGACTTTTTGCGTTTATTATCTTTCCATCCTGATTCCTTTTTGCTAAAAACCTCGGTGTATTCATTAGTAACAGGTGGCTGAGTATTTTCTGTAGAAGTATTATTTTCCAACCACATATCAGTAAGTTCTAATTGATTGTCATAACGTTTTTCTTTAACTTCTTTAACTTTTTTCTTTGATTTTTTATGTCCCTAGTAAAAAAAGTATAATAAAACTATACTTAATTTTGAACTAACAATTTTTTTAATAAAAAAATTTATATTTAATATATTGCATTTTTTAAACAAAAAGAGAAAAGAAATATTACTTTTTCCTTTTTCTTTCCTTCAGTAGTTTCTTGAATTAAATTATTTTCAATAACTCTATGTTCTAATACAGGTAATCTTTCATCATCTCTTAAAGGTAGATCTAAATCAATATTTAAAGCTCTGTGTGGATCATTTACATCCACATGATCATATTCATCACTATCACTCAGTTCTGCACCTGGTGGTAATTCACCAATCCCAGTATTCACAACTTGAACAGGATAAACATCATCTTGTTCATCTTCTGAGATGGACTTTTCACCTAAAGAGTGTAATATTTATAATTTTACATAATAGTTATAATGAATTGCACATACATATAATTTAAACATACGTTTCTTAGTCTTCTTGTTTTTCTTGCCATGTATTTTATATCTTTTACGATGATTCGTAACTTTTAAAGAAACAGGAATATCTAACTCTGTTACGGGAATGTTTTCGAACTCTTCATAAATATTTGATGAGTTATGATATGATGTGGAATTTTTGAATGTGCCTTTTAAGTAATGTGGATTGTTTTGTTGTTCTAATTTTCTAGCTTCACGTCGTTTCTGAAGTTCTTCTGCTGATGGTTCGTTAAATTCTCGTTTAGAATAAGAATCATTAACTTTCTCTGTTTTAATGAAAATATCATTCATATCTAAATCTTCTGAATCAGAACTTTCTGATGGTGGATCATTGATCCATGAATCTAAATCCAAGTCCTCTGGAATTGGTACCTAAACGAAAACAAAATAATATATGTAAATAATTTTATAAATTTTTTACTATTACAATAAAAAACAAACGTTATTATAATACCAATCTCAACATTATGTTCAAAAGGTATGAAAAA